AATAATCTTGGCACAAAGCCCATAGAAAGTAAATGTAAAAAAATACATTGGCCCTTTTCTACAGACTGTGTGCCAAGGTTATGGACTAATATGGTTGTGGAGCTCTGACTCTTTACATATTTTCATTCCTGGTTATATTATAGTAAACCTGTAAAGTGGCACCGATTGCTTCATATCCAAATACATTGTTCAATACTAAAATCTAATTTAGAATCTAAAATTCCTTTCACTCGTACTCTACATCATTCTAAGGATTAGTAACAGGAAAGGAAGAAGGAAGATTCACTCGTACGCTACATCATTCTAAGGATTAGTAACAGGAAAGGAAGAAGGAAGATTCACTCGTACGCTACATCATTCTAAGGATTAGTAACAGGAAAGGAAGAAGGAAGATTCACTCGTACGCTACATCATTCTAAGGATTAGTAACAGGAAAGGAAGATTAAGAAATCAAAAATAACGGAATTTTTTCTAGAAACCATAATCACTAATGTATAAAAAACGTAAAATGTTAAATGCAAATTTATAGGGACTGCATGAAGAAAATGGTCACCTCCCCAGGCAGTGTTTCTTCATTTTGCACAATCAGGCTCACATAACTGAATGAATTCTCACTGCTGAAGAAATGCTGCATCCTGGTGGGCAACAAAGAATATACACCAATGCATTACAGGTGAAACTCGAATAATTAGAATATTGTGCAAAAGTAATTGCAGTAAGTGCTGCAAAAGGGGCCCAAACCAAGTACTGAGTACATATGCATGCTTGTACTTTTCAGAGGTCCGATATTGTTCTATGTACAATCCTTGTTTTATTGATTGCATGTAATAATCTACTTTTTTGAGGTTGTGGATTTGGGGTTCTTGGGGTTTTCATGAGCTGCAAGCCATAATCATCACAATGATGACAAATCACGGCTTGAACTATCTTGCTTTTAATGTAATGAGTCTATCTCATATATTAGTTTCACCTTTTAAGTTGCATTAGTGAAATAAATGAACTTTGCACGATATTCTAATTATTCGAGTTTCACCTGTATCTTCTGTGACTGATATCTTCATTATCAGGACAAACTCTACATGCGGTAGATTTGTGTCGAGAATTGATGTTGAACAAATGTTTTACTTACATACAAAGCCCTTATAATGCATCTTTTTTTTCCCATCAGAAATAGTAAGGTGCCTATGGATACCTTGTGATCTGAATGTTTAGTTCCCCACGACACTTCAATATGCAGATATTGGCAAACTACAGATTTCATTACTGGCCTGCCGCCCCCACCGTTTTATGTTTACCAACTGTTCATTGACACTGTTACATCATGGACATACAGTGGGGCAAAAAAGTATTTAGTCAGCCACCAATTGTGCAAGTTCTCCCAATTACTTTTAGTACTGTATTCTTCCATTTCTGCAGCTATATAGTAAAGCTGCCCATACACCTATAGATTATCTGCAGATTTCCTATGGTCAGATGGAAAAAGTGCAACAGATTCCTCCATATACGCTAAACTGTGTGGATGGAGGAATCTCCCACTGGGCCAAGCTTCAGTATCTTGCTAGTTGGCCCCGCTGGATGTCAGCATACCTGAACAATGCATCCAATCAGATTGTGCAGGTACTTTGAGAGTCAGCGGGGCCAACTAGCACAATATTGAAACATTGGCCCAGTGGGAGATTCTTCCATCCACACAGAGGTGGTGTGTGTGTGTTGAGATTGATGAGTTCTGCATATGAGGGGTACATTTACTAAAGGTAAATAGGCTGTTTACAATGCAGAGGAATTTTCCCATAGCTTAGTGAATGTGGTGAACATTCACTTTGCAAAGACTACCCAATAACTTGTAAGGAAAATAAAAACAAAAAACCCCGGGTATATTTGCTTGCACATGATTGGAAGATGGAAGTCAGTAGAACTTCACCTCAGTCACAGTTTGAAGGGAAAATTCCCTTACAAAGTGAACAGACCATGAGCCTTTGGAAAATAACTCCAAGGGCTCCTAGGTCTGTTTTTCTGCTATAGAACTTCTTTGGGAATGAAAAGCTTTTTGTCTGAGCCAAGCTGGTAGAAGTTCAGGGTTCTTTTCACGTTCCCTTATCCCTTTGTTGTAAACAAAAAAAGCAGCCCATTGTTTATACAGTTCAATAGCTCAAGCTGAAATGTACCCACCCAAGTCATTGAGTCTTCAGTGAGAGACAACAGTGTTGGAAAGAATACTACTGCCGTGTTGTCTTTTTAGAAAATCCATTGTGCTCTGTGTTGTCCATGACAAACCTCAGTTACTAGGTTATACATTAAATATAATTGATCTCCAAACATTGTAGTTTCCCTTTGAAGTAGTCATATACAGAGGAAGTATTATGAATGCCAATGTAGGCCTGTCATGCTGATCTGCTTGTAAGTATTTTGAGTTACTGACCTGGAACAAGTATGTAGATAAGAACTGCTGATTCTGCCTAACATTTCTGATCTGCATCATTGTTTTGTGCCCGGGAGACAAAGTATTGATTATAGAAGGTCAAGATTACAACCAGGCTATTGGAATTTTTTTTAAGGTCAGCGATGGCTGTCCTGCATGTCTCTCATAAGTTCTTTATGTTCATTTCAGTATCACATCATTTTCCAGGGCAGTCAGATAGAGCAGACCTACCAGTTGGGACATCCGCCTCTTGGTACTGTTGTCTCACAATATTGCACAGAATACTTACAGTGCATTGGAGGCAAACCTTGGATGTATATGTATCTCTGATCATGGGAATTCACAATTATTATGCACAGTAAAGGACATTTTTATTTGCAGGTCTTAAAATGGGAGGAGTTGGGAATACAAAGCTTTCTAAACTGCAAGAACAGCATACTAAGGCCTTGTATGTTCAGGCTTCAGCTTGTATAAGGGCAGTATGTACACCAAGCTTTTACAAAGCTTTTGTTTTAGTCTTTAACGCAATTTCTTATAATGTTATAGTGCTGATTGTTACCGTATACAAGCAGGCTTTAGCACTACACAATTCTTACTGAAAGCTTCTGAGACCTGCAAGCATCTTGTTTAGGGTGACAGCCAACACGCTCATTTAGGTCGATGTTTAACATATCCAAACTGGATAGAAAGTTTGCTTTAAAAGCTTCAACAAAGTCAGGTGCACAATAAGGGGGCCAGGTGTACCGATAGCAGCTAAAATCTGGGCTAAACAAAAAACAAATTATGTATATATATATATATAGCAGGACTACCACATATGGAGTTATATTATAAGGCCATGGTACCTAATCGTAAGGTGGATTGCTTTTCCCCATCGCAGTCAAAGCTCTGGGTAAAAAATTTAATAATCCAGTGTGGCAGTGCCGCGGACTTCCATACCTTGGATCAGACCATCATGTGTCTTCCTATGTGGGTCCACTAACACCTATCCTCAGTAATCCTGAATTCCCACAAGCCATTGAGAGCAGAAGGTTCCTAAAGTGGGAAAACATAAGGCCCTCGCCATACTACAGGTTGGCAATGCCTCTGGGGTGCTTCCCTTACTGGATTTGCTCCCCACATGGACCTCGAGTGTAGGTAAGTGGTACCAGTATCTGCAACTTAAACATTTTTACTTATAGCTCCGCTCACAAGGTGGGGTATTTAGGAACCTGACATTATTTGAAGATCTCTGCCTAAACAAAGCAGGGAGTACGCATGCTGTCTCAAGAGTGTATGAGCACTTAACCCTTAAAAGTGCAGGGGTAGCCTTACTGCAAGAGTTAATTTTTACGTTTCCTGGAGATCTTCAAAGTGTAACCTAGCTTATCCATTTTATATATGGTAGTTGCAATCTTTTTCTTCTTCCCCATTTATTTTGACTGGATGATTCTGCCAGTTACACACTTCCTGTCATAGCGTGCCAACATGACTTCAGAAATCTCCCCTTCAGTGCAGGCAAAAAGCACGCAAGATTTCTAGCAGGATCAACAGGTATTTTGATTTGCACTTGCCAAACAGGTATAGCAAAATGTTTTCAATGGTATTCTTAGCAGACCAAAGGGAGTGAATAAGAGTTCATAAAAGTTCATTGTTAGTGTTTACATACCCTTTATCTCACATGCAGGGAATTAGAATTTTCGGGAAGAGGCCAGCAATGGCACCCTACATATTATTCTCCTGACATGAATGCATTAAAGTAGAACTCAAGCCAAAACCTTTTTTTGTTGTTGTTCTGGATACAGCAAGGGAGGATTATAACTCCTGTCAGTTTGTTTTTGCAATCCGTGTCCCACTGGGGAGACTTCCCTTCACTTCCTGTCTGATAGCCACAATAGGAAGGGAGAGGAAATGCCTCCAAAAGAGAGAGGGAAATCTGTGCTGGTCAGCAAGGTCACCAGAACTAGTTTCCCCAGTGAACGAGTTTTTTTTTTTTTATCTACTCCTGCTTTGGGACCATATTTTGGTCCCAAAATGTGGGATTTTCTTTCACATTCACACAAAAAGCCATACCACAAAACGCTTTGGTTACAAACAGCCTTTAATGAGTTACTAAAGAGCCAAACAAAACTTGATGCATGTCATCACCTTACAGTCTTGATCAGTAACATAAAAAATAAAATCAGATGTACAAGATCTTAAGTGGAAATTCATGACTCCGGGTCATTAGACAGAACACTTCTTTACTGATCAAACAGCTGAAGTGTGAGTATTAGAACTGTTGGCAGAAAATGCAAAACTCAATAGGCCATAATTTACGTAACCTATTAGAGAACGGTGGTTCTCAGCTCCATTACCACAGTACCCCCCCCACAGTTCATGTTTGGAGGTTTTCCCACAGTGAGCACGGCTGTGGTAATCACCAGTTCAGCCATACAGATTAAAGAACCTGTGCGAGATTAACGAAACCCTGAAAACATGATTGTCGAGGGTACTGGAGTTAAGAAAAAAACTAATTAAAAAACAAAACACTGGTTTTGACCACAGCTGGGCAACCCATGGCCCTCCATCACTTGGAATACTACTACTGCCAACACCTAGGCAAGGTGTGCACTGACAGTTGAAGTTCCTAGACAGCTGGAGAGCTACTGGTCCTCCATGGGTGGTGCATAGATTAAGATATAGGAGAATGACATCAGTGAAAGGATGACAGACAATGAAAATAAACCTATAATGGTAGGCACAGTAGAGGGGGGTGCCAGGAAGGAAGAGTTCATAAATACACCATAATGGAAGTTGTGGTCCGTTACTTCAAAGCCTGCTTGAGAAACCTTCCAGTTCTCCGCGAAACGGATGTATACTTGTGACTGTTTATAAAATGGCCAATGTGGAGGGGAAAGGAGGAAGGGGTGCACCAGGAGGGGGCTTGAAACCAAATCCAAAAAAAAAATAAACCCTATTATAAACAGAACATAAAGTGAGGGAGAGTAGAGTCAAGGTCATGGGAAGCCGTCATCATCATCTTCGGCCATTTCTTTAGCAAATTCTAAATCTTGCTGCTCCCGCTCACGCCGCTCCTAAGACAATAGAGACAATTGGATGGATTATTGCAGGGAGCACCACATCAAGAAGGAAAAGTAAAAAACTGCTGGATAGAGTTTCTCCAATACACTTATCAGTATATAACATAACTGGATCAATAAAAGCTCTTAAAGCTTTCTGCTCCCGGAATAAATAACTATCTCAATTTCCCATCATTTGTCTGTAGCAGCAGAGAACTTTATTTGGAAGTGGAATTCTACAGCTGTCCAGTCAGAAGCCGAGTCTTTCAAAGGCAGGTTAATGTCACACGAGATAACACTGTCCTAGGGATGCTCCGAAATTTCATCCAAAAAAAAATGGTATTATGGGCAAAATGCCAAAAGTACCATAAAAGGGCAACAATTCAGTGCATCCCTAGCTTCTGTCCTCCCGGAGGTGACGCCGGTTTGCGTCACCCCGGTTGCCCATTCCCTTACTGAGTTGGCAGGGGCAGCAGGGATCAGTGGGAACACAAACCGGCGGCCAGAGGGGAGGAGAGAAGCTATCAGAAGGCTGAGAGGGGCGGTGCGGGGAGGAAGCAGCTATTAGGATGCTGAGCGGAGCGAGCTGTCACAGAAAGCCGAGCTCTCCTTCTGCACCACCGTGCATCTCTCAACATGGAGAGCTGGTTACAAGCGATCAGGACTGATCAAGGGTGTTTGTAAATAAAGGGGTACATATTAAGCTTACTGTGTCCTCAGTTATGAATGAACAGGAAGTGCACTACATCACTTCCTGTTCATTCATAACAGGGGCTGCAGAAAAAGATTTAGAACTCTGTGTCCTCAATCTCTTTTTCTATTTTAAAAGGGAAATATCAGGGGTCTGTTTAGATATTTCCCCAAAATTCCTGACAGACAAAAGAAAAAAAAAAAGTATTAAAATGTAAAAAAAGAAAACATTGTTAAAAAAGGTCAAGGGAAAAAAAAAAAAAAAAAGTAATTTTTGGTTTCGGCCTGACATTTATTACTATAAAGTTTATGTAGAGTAAAACCTCTGAGAAGTGAAAGAATTTAATCTTCAATTAGTAAACTGCTTTCTACCAATTCTCAAGCGTTCCTGTCCATACCTGATGCTTCTGCCTTGCCTCATTTCCTGTTGCAAGGTGACAACGCTGTATGCACCTGTTTTAATTTCTCGCAGCTTTACCAACCTTTCCTAAGTACTACAAGACTGCATAGGCATCATCAACATGCAGCTTCTTAGAGAATTGTTACCCTAGGAAGAAGAAGATGGGCACCCAAACATAGACATGCCTTGACCTGACCCGCCTCCCCCTCCTTAGTGATTGACATGCGCTAACAGAGCATAGTTCACAATCTCCGTGGCCTTGCCCCTAGCCGATTACATCAGTGGATAAGAAAGTCTAAGCTCTTGCTCAGCAGACTCAAAAGATAGAAAGTGGGCAGATGACAACATATAAAAATCAGCCAATATAGAATTAGACTTTATTCTATACCACTACAGTAACAGTTGTACTGCTTTGTTTTGCTATTGGGATTACATCTGCTATAGCTAAAGACCTGTCGAAGCTGTTTTTTTTGTCCTTACCTCTGCAGATTCCAAATCTTTGTTGTATGACTTGGGAGGAAATCGCATAGCCTAGGGAAAAGAAAAAGAGAAAAGCGTGTTACAAAAGGAAAATGTACCATTCATGAGCTGCATTCCTCTTGTATTACTGATTAACCTGTAAGCAGCAAAAGGTATCTCTCAAACTCAGCTGTTTTCCTGCACTGGCCTGGAGAGAATGAATACCACAATTTCTCAATATAACATTGTCTCCTTACCTTGACGGACATATTGTGAATGTCTAGACAGAAGGAAATGCGTTGGTGGAAAGCCAGCTGGGGCTCTCGCGTAGAGTAAATGTCAGTCATCTCCTTAGATTGGACATAACCCTTTTCATGATTAATACTGGCTTCAATGACTCCATCACGTATTGCCTAGATTAAACAAAGTCATGAATGAGAATGGAACATGTAAGATGGCTGGCCTACCTTAGGACCACTCTATAAATACCGATCTTTGCACACATAAAACTGACAAAGGTAAGATAGTATGAATGCAAGAAATGGTTATACATTTATAAACAAGTTCCTTTCCTAAACCAAGAGCAATGTATGAAGCATAGTGAAATAAGTCTATTAGCTATCCTCCTTTGTAAATGATTTTTATGGATCAAGAAGAATTCATTTTTGCAATATTTTTGTGAGGCGCTATTCGCCTTTTTCCTGCAATGAATGTCAACGCACATGCCATGCTGGAAATGCATGGCATGTGCGTTGTGCGAAACCACGTGCAATTAACACACAGCTCTGGTGTGAGCGGGCCCTAACTCACAGCAACAAATCAGAAAACATCTTTCATTGTCTGTGTAATATATTCTTTGTTAAAGCAGAACTAAACTGTGATCTGCAAGGAGAGTTTTTACCATAATAAACTTGCACATTATAGCAAACTCACCTCTGTGTTTGCCCTTCCTCAGCTCCTACAGTCCCATTGCTGCTGCAACCCCAAATCCACCCTCCCCCCCCTTCCCACAGGGCTGCCATCTTCTCCATTGCATCTTCTGGGTTCACGATCCTCTCTTTTAGGCAGCCACCAATGATGGAACCTTGCACATATGCAGTGTCCCTTATAGATGCTGGGAATGGGTCAGGAGTGTACACTGTGCATGAACCGCAGGCAGTGTACCAACTGAGAAATAGAGCTGGGAAGAGCAGATTTTTATTATCATGTACTGTATGTCCCCATTGGAAAGATTTTTGCTTGCTTACACACACACACACACACACACACACACACACACACACACACACACACACACACACACAGACAAA